CCTGTCCTCCTACAAAAAACGACCAAATAGGTCGATTGTTCAGCAGCTTATTACGACCCATAGTCACGTTTTAAAGTGTAGCACCTCTAGTGGTCGTGTAAGAAACAACATGCTCCTGTTGATTGCAAACGCTCCGGAGGGTCGTATATTCACAAATAACCCTCTCTGGAAAATCCTAAATTGTGGAATAGTTTGGCCATTAAAATGCTTGTTGATTAGATTTCTAGCGAGAAGTGTATATTGTACTTTTAGAATCCACGTCCAGTGGATGTGTAGGATCTATAGTTTGATAGATATTACGAAGATGATTTGAGGTCTCGCCAGGAGAACGTGTATACAGTATACTACGTCTTTACGCAGCGTCCATGTAAAGTTGGCGTCAACCCTCACGGGGTGAAAACAGTATATTTCCGGTCTCGACGTTTTCATAATAAAACCGGAAGTATTCCCCTCACTGTCAAATGATTACACAGTGATATCTGCATTACTCATCCACTAAAAACCATCAGTTTATCCTTGTTAATTACACAATATTGATTGGTTTAAATTGTGTTCAATGCTTTTGTGTTTTTAACCTTCGATTCGGAGAAACAAATAGTTTTTTCGGAGTTTAGACACTACAGAGTTTCCGAAGACACTACACTACCCAGAATCCTCAGCTATCGTTTGGGACTACAACATCCGCTTTGCTTAGCAAACCCCGTGATTAGTCCTCAAGCTCTGTGATTGGATGTTGGAGTGACAGTGCTATCAGACTATCCAAAACTGGACTTGAACTGGACTTGAATGGCCAAACTATCCTACATTTTAGGATTTTCCAGAGAGGGTTATTTGTGAATATACGACCCTCCATAGCATTTGCATTCAACGGGAGCACTAGAGGTCGAAAACTTTAAAATGTGATTATAGGTCGTAATAAGCGCTTGAACAATCGACCTATTTGGTCGTAATAAGGGCTTGAACAATCGACCTATTTGGTCGTATGAGTTGGAGGACTTGTTGGAACATTGTATTGCAAGCTGGTGTTGGGTGAAATTAAATCTACTGATATTTATTTGGTCACAGGTCTTTATAAGTAGGTACTTTTTATTCGGGATGGAGAAATATCTATAATTCTCACAGTACCTGACAATTTGTTATTTTTCACAAATTCAATTTTACTAAAATGATGCACTTTTTGCAGTGCTTCATCAAATCAAATCAAATCAAATCAAGTTTTATTCATATAGCACATTTTTAAACGATTTTTGGTCGAGCCAAAGTGCTGTACATATAATAAAATACCCTACAGTAAAGACACTTTACAGCAAATACAACAGCACAGTTTGTTCAGAATATCAGTATGAGAAAAACAACACCCTCTGTCCTTAGACCCTCACATCGTACAAGGAAAAACTTCCTGAGAAAAACCCACATTTCAAAGGGAAAAATGGGAGAAACCTCAGGGAGAGCAACAGAGGAGGGATCCCTCTCCCAGGATGAACAGACGTGCAATAGATGCCGTGTGTAAATCGAAGAGATAATACATTTTACAGCGTAGGTAGGTAGACCGAATGTTTGGAAATGCATGTGCATAAGAAGATGAATCCACAAGGATGTCAACAACAATCCTGTGGGAGCCATCAGGGAAGCAGCATGACGAGACCCGGGCAGGACCGCAGAGACAGGCCCAGCCACGACCCGAAGTCCACGACTTAATCCAGAACTCAGGATAGAGGATCCAGGGCACAGGACCACAGCAAGAGGATCAGCCTCGACTCCGGATCCCGGCGTCGATATAGACACAAAAGAAGAAACATTTGGCTGGGTTAATCGGAACATGAGAGTACACAGACACAGACAGACAGAAGGGAGAACAAGCACTCCCTTAGAATAGGTTAAGGGAAAAGGGTAGCAAGTAAGAGAGTAAGAAACAGAGGTGGAGAGGCACACGCAGGGAACAAAGGCCCCACTGGAGCCTTAGTTGGAAATTGGTGAGAGATAGGGAGAAAGCTGTGAATACGGCCATAACACTCCCCGGCCTGCCTAAGCTTCTCTGCAAACCTGTTTCCCTCTAATAAAACCTCGAGAGGTTAGAGAGGGAAAAAGGTTTTTGGATAAAGAGAGGATAGAAAGAATCGATTATCGATTATTATTATTAGAATATGAGAAGTAGAGAGAGAAAAGATTTAGAAGAATGAGTAGTAGTAATAACCTTATTTTTCAATATAAGATCCACATTTTTAGGATTTAAGTGAAGGCCAGAGAGAAGAAGTGAGTTTTTAGTGTAGATTTAAAAACACCTAGGGTCTGGGCCGACCTCACATGGAGGGGCAGAGTGTTCCAGAGCCTAGGGCCAGCTGCTGCGAATGCTCGGTGCCCTCGGGTTTTAAGCCTGGTCTTAGGTACTATCAACAGCAGCTGGTCAGCAGACCTTAAAGCTCTGGCTGGGGTGTAGCGCTGGAGGAGTTCAGCTATATAGGCCGGAGCCAGCCCATTTAGTGCTTTAAAAACAAATAAAAGGATTTTAAAATCAATTCTGAACCGAACTGGAAGCCAGTGTAGTGAGGCCAGAATTGGGGTGATGTGGTCACGCTTTTTATGGCCAGTAAGAAGACGTGCAGCTGCGTTCTGAACTAGCTGCAGGCGTCTAATTGAGGCCTGGTCCATACCCACATACAGAGCGTTGCAGTAATCCAGTCTGGAGGTTACAAAGGCGTTAATAACCCTTTCTAGGTCTTTAAAAGATAAATACGACTTGGTTTTAGCCAATAGTCGTATTTTAAAAAAGCAGGATTTGACTACGGTGCTGACCTGCTTATCAAATTTAAAAGCGCTATTAAAGGTCACTCCAAGGTTCATGACAGAGGGGAGGATGTTTTTATTGAGGGAGCCCAGAATGTCAACCGGAGAGGCTGAAGGTTGGGGTCCACAAAAGATGACCTCGGTCTTGCTCTCATTGAGGGTGAGGAAGTTTTGTCTCAGCCAGGATTTAATCTCAGACATGGCCTGGCATTGGCAAGAAAAATATGGAAAAGACATATAATGAATTACAAGTACAAGGACAATAAATGGCCGACCTCTTCATCTAATCTGCAGTTTCTACACATTGTCTTACTGTGAAGGAAGTGAGTGCACAGATACCAGCCCAAATACAGTTTCTAACCCTAACCCCTTTTATGTAAAAGAGGCATTTTGAACTTTTTTTTCAAGGATCAAATTGGATCGCAAAACAAATAATGACAAACACAATCATAACATTTTAACACATGAAAAACCATATTCAACAAGTAAGAGCCTGCCATTGATTATCCACCACATCCAGGTGTCATGAGAACGTTGCTCTCCATAGCCACGTCCTCCAGCTGTTTCTTGGGAGTCCCGGGGCGATCTGAGGCCGGACAGAATGTGTGATCACTCCGGCATGTGTTTGGTCAGCCCTGGGGTTTTCCTCCGAGTTGGTTGTTCAATTAATATTTCCACATGGAGGCATCCTGATCAGTTCTTGACTGCCTTAAAAAGGATTGTCTGTACTGGACTATGTCCTTTGCAGGGCGCAGCAACTGTTGCCTGGCAAGACATTAATTCTGAAGGTAGCTTTTGCTCGAACTCAACATACAAGATCTTATATATATATTTTCAAATAAACTTAAAGGTGGAAGCTGGAATGTTTTATCACAAGAAATTCTGGTTAGCTGTTTCGTATATGTTGTGCTTAGCCAAGCTAACCATCTGCTGGCTATGACATCATAATAAGTGTAAGAAATGAAAGTGGTATCCTCTCATTTGACAATAAAAGAAAACGTAAAGATTAAGTGTAACTTTGTATTTCCCAAAATATCAAACTGTTTGAGATTTCTATTCATGATGTGTGGAATCATACTTCGCCTATAGTAACCCCTAATCTCAGTGTATTTACCCAAAACTAAGGACCTATATTTGCAGGTATAAAAAGTTAAATTGGGAAAGTAAGTAAACTGATATTGAGAGCTTCAGTCAAAGCTTGCTCATCAGTCCAGTACAGTGTCTGCACCTACTGATGGTGGACCAACCCAACTGCTGTTTCATCCTACCTTCACTTGAGAACAAGACCTTAAGATGCTTTAACTCCTTCACTTTGGGAATATCCCAAAACCTGGCTTTAGCCTGTTCCACCCTGAGCCTGTTTTTCAGGTTTCAGGCTCGAAAATGACATTCCCAGAACAAATGACCATATCTTCCCTTCTAAAAGGGTTAGATTAATAATCTTTGTTCTCAAAGTAATGATAAACCTGTGAGTTGGATGTAGAAAAGTCAGAACAATATAGATGTTTTTTATTTTAAAGAAAATTCAGATTGAACATAGTAAAAAACTGTAAATTATAGTGTCCGAATTATGGATTATAAATAATTTGTTCAAAGCGACAGACACATTATTAACCTATGGATTAACCGATTCAGCCGCGTTTTTTCTCGTTTTAATGCCATTGAACACGTCTTTTGATCAGATTGACAGCTACGGTGAGACGATCTCCCGTAAAAGCTCCGTAAAGGTACGTGTTGTGATGTCTGTGTTTGCTTCCCCTGTCGGGAGTTCGGATCGCTCAGTGATGATACTATACCTATATAATCTGTGGAGTCTCAGCTTTAATCGGATATATTGTATGTGCAGTTACGATAAGTAATAAGGGTATCTTTATCTTGAGTTCTGTGCTAAGTGCGTTAGCATTTTTTCGCTCAGGGGTCATTTAGACGCTTCTTATGAGACTTGTGTTTTGTTTTGGTAAAAATGGTTCATATCTTCAGTTAGCTGAGATTCTTCCCGTTAATCTGGTGCTACACATTAATAGTTTCATAAATGTTAAGAAGCCCTGAGACACAGTCTCGAAAAAAAACGTTGGGGGGCCCCCCTGTGGGGGGGCTCCAGGGCTTAACAGGTTCCACTCAATATTCTTTGGTGTTGATATCAGTCAAGTCTCCCATCTACCTCTAATACATGCCTTATACCGAGATATTAATGGTACTTTTTCCTCTCTTTACAGGTGATCCTGATTCTCACCAAGCTGTACGACTTTCATATTGGCAGCGTCACTGAGAGCACTCTTTGGAGGTGAGTACAAAGGGTTTTTTCATTCATAAAATATTTACAAGATGTCTTTGAATACCGCTTTGATTACTGAATGGTATAATTAGCCTTGTGCAATGATCCTGCGATTGGCTTGATGTTTCGGCTAATTGACCAGTCGGTACAACATATGCTCCAGTGGCTGACAGCTAACAGAATCTGACTCAGCTCACTGTTATGAACCCTTACGATAAATGTTCTTCATCTCTATTTTGCCCACTCATTTTCTTGCACAACCATCAGTCTTTTTTCCTACCTGTCTGCTATCACTGTGTCTTTTTTCCTTCTCCTCTCCCGTGGCACTGTGAACAGCGTGTTCTGGTGTCATGCACGGTCAGACGGGCACTCAGTGTGGAGGATGCTGTTTGCCATGCTCTTGTTCTGCCGTATTATCTGATGCACTCCCCTTCCTCGAACCCTCCCGGGAATAAACACACACACAAAGACACACACACACACTTCGGAGAATAGTTCTTGCATAGAGTAAAAACAAACTACCCAAAGATGGGCTACACATTTCTGATAAGTTGATAATGAGTAGAACCAATTTTCAAATAGTGTAACATGAATACAGTTATTCCTTTGTCTGAGTTTTTGGGAGATGCCTCATGTGACAGCGTGCTCTCGGGTAGGATTTGAACAGTTTTACCATGGAAACAGTGTGTAGTATGGGACAATCGGGTCCTCTCAGGTAAATTGCCGTTCACAAAAACCCCTGAACAGCACTTGTCCAATCCTAGAGCTTAGCAACCGTTACTAGCCACAGAAGGCTGGATTTTCTGTTAGTAAGAGTGGTATTCAAAAGCTTGTGTCTTTTGTCAACCCTTTCCGAAAACCTAAAACACAATCAGAATCAGAAATCCTTAATTCTTCCCGCAGCAGATACATTTACGTTGTAACTGCAAATGGACAGTGCAGATAAAGAGCTAAATAAGAGACACACAATAAATAGGCCCTTCTCTGCTTTTTGGAGTTTCCCTTTCCTGTAGTGTGTTATAAAGATCTTTTGTGCATTTACAGCATACTTCAATATGAGGTAATATGCTCGCACCCTAAATGGGTGACTACGATACAAGGTAACCAAAGAAAAAGGAAGACAGAAAAGCCAGTCAGAATCAGATTCATTTCTTTTAAATACATAAAGATCGTTTTTTTTACTACTCAAAAACAATGAATCCCGTCTCGATTCGGATCAAAATTGCTTTTTGACTGTTCCTTTTCTCCAGCTACGCACTTCTGTACTCGAGTATGCAATAACTGGTTCAAACACAACCAGCTCTATTTTCCTAAAGAGAAACAAACAGTGTTCCATCTGCACATCTTTTGTTTGTGGAGATTTTCAAGACGACAGTCCTTTTTAAGCGCAAAACATTTGTACTTCTCAAGTTTTGCTGCCGCTGCCCAGCTTAAAGCGTTAGTTTGACAATGATGAGCTGTGCCAAAGTGACTGCTAGCCATTTCTGACATTTAGACAGCGACTGTGTAATTTGGACCCCGAGGCAAAAACAGAGTCCTGTTTTGGTATTTGACTAAGCGCATGGAAAATGGAGTCCCCAGATATTCTTCGGAAAGAGAGAAGACAGCTCTTTTAGCTGCATCAGTTTGGAATATATAAAATAGTTTGATATATTTCTTTATGGATAGCCTCTATGACAGCATTTCACAACCTTCTCTGCCCTTTCAAACCCTCGTTACCTTTTCTCCAATGTTTATCCATCTGCATGTGTAGAAGTTTCTCACTTTTGTGGTCCCTATGGTCCCCCTGTTGCATAAACTGTTGCATAAACCCTCCTTTACATATCCCCCATCACAACCACCACAGATGGCAGAGAGGACACAGTGTAGCCTAAAGGAGAGGTGAAAACCATCCTTATGTAAACTGAATGTGGCTTCAATAAACTTCAAGGAGAAAACTTTGGTTAATCTCAACACTAGACGCATTTGTTTAAAGCCGAGTTCTGTTTTTTTTAATATACATTTTAAATGCTTGTATGTCAAACAATATGTGACCTGCTCTATTGAAATCAGTCACAACAAGACCAAACACTTATTAGCTTTCTAATGATACCGTTATTGTCTTTCTACCCCAAATATTGACCATAATATATATCATACAGTATTGTAATGACTGTAACCAAGACACAATTTTGAGCAAAAGCCCTTCAAAGTTTTTGGCCATTGTTATATTAAGAGGGGAATCCAGGCTGTCCTTCGTAATGTTCAATCTACAGCACAACGTTCAGGATTATCTATCGATTCATCTATCGCAGGGGTAGCCAACACGGTGCCCGCGGGCACTTAGTCGCCCGCAGGGGCAACGTGAGTCGCCCGCGGGGCATGTTCTAAAAATAGCTCGCCAAGCAAATCCAAATTGTAAAAAATACACAAAGCAAAAAAGGAAATGTAATTAAAAGAATCTACCCTATGCATAAACGAAACCTAAATCATAGCGAACTCTATCTACTTACTACAACTCTATATCTATCTAACACCCCTCCTCCCCCCACCCCCACAATGAATATCGACCAATCACGTTCTTGCTTGATTTGCGGGACTAGCGTTGCAGTCGGGAAGAAAAGCAATGTGGAGCGGCAGCTCCCAGCTTCATAAGGAGTGTGACCGTGATTTTCCTTCTGGCAGAATCTACACAACACATCAGCCCCATTGAACAGCCTATCATGCCAGCCTATACAACACATGAGGGGCAGAGTTTTACTCTGTGTGTGTTGCTACTTGCATATTTATTTATTGCACTTGACGCACACACACGCATGGCGTAATTTCCACTGGGGACAGGGGGGACATGTCCCCCCCACTTTTCGAAATCCCGTTTGTGTCCCCCCACTTTACAAATATGTTTGTAATCACAGAAGCACACAGCCTCTGTGAGCGAGCGAGACAGAGAGAGAGAGAGAGAGCGAGCGCGAGCGAGAGAGCTCGAGAGCACACCTTTATCCATTCAATATAGATAAAGTAAGAAATCATTCCAATGTGTACTATAGGACAGTAAAAAAAACAAAAAAACAGTTTAAAAGGGGAGTGATTAGTCAAATATGCATAAATAGAAAGAAAGAATGCTAACTGGGTAACATAAGATAAGAATAAACCAGTTTAAATGATTTGTTATTGGTTGTGATCATATTCTAAAGATGTTTGGATTATTGAAAAGTATACAGCTCCCTTTCATCTGAGTGTTGAGAGCTGTCCATCAATTCATGTTGTGCTCAAAGTGCAGCAGATTGATGCATTTCACTTCAACATTTAAAAAAAAAATCTTCCCGGGGGAGCATGCCCCCGGACCCCCCTAGAGGAGGTTAAAATAATTAAATTGCATACATGTTCTTTTAGTAAACACTGAAAGCGGGTCCCACAGACCCAAACAGCACACAAAGGTTAAAGGTAAGCATATCATCATGTTAAAATGTGCTAAATATATACACTGCAAAAAACAAAAAAGATAGGAGCAAAAGTAGCCCCCGGCTTGTTTTATTTTTTGAAAGTAGCCCTCACCCCGAAAAAGGTTGGTGACCCCTGCTCTATCGTATTGATTAGGCTAACTCATTTTAATCTAGGAGAATCAGCAACGAGGACATTCTGAAAGCATGACCTTTTATTTAGATCAGATGAAAACCCACTGGACCAGACCCTCCCATGTTACTCTCAGCCTGTCATTCATTATTTTAGGGATTCTTTTTTTAAGAATTAAGTAATTTTTGAAGTCAATTATGTGCTAGAAGCTCTGTCAAATTAAAGATGTTTTCATGTAAATATTGTGATTAAATGTATGCTGAAAAAGTGTTGCAATGTCAATCACTATGGTTTTCAGCAATCCAGCTTTAGGCTTCAAATCAGACACTAAGTAGTTACATAAGACACCAACAAAAAGGAAGTGAAAGGACAAAGTCCAAATCAGGGCATTTCCAACCTTTTGGAAAAATACAACTCGGAAAGAACCGTCATAAACTATTTTCAGCTTTTAGGAAGGCAGCCCCGGCCCCAGTAAGATGTAGTATAATCATGAATTTATTTGCACATAAATAAGTCATGATTGGCCTCACCCAAGCACTTTTTATCAGAGATAAATGCAACATGACAGTTCAACTCTGTAGGGAAGATGCAATCAGGTGAGGTAATTCCTCCATGGTGAGAAAACAGGAGCATCACTGTGCTTGATCAGCACTATTGGCAGCACTCCCAGCCCTGTCACTGACCCACAAACTTACAGCGAGGGGAGCAGCTGTCCGTCTAGGCTTGACTTTCCCGTACATCAGTGTCTGAGAAGATGCAGGGATGGGTATGTATGGCAGGAATGTCAGAAGCTGAAGGAAGTCAAATGGACAGGGGAATAAAAAAGCGGAAAGATAAAAGGCTAACTATGTATCGGAGGCGCCGTTTCCTTGAATCAGCTCAACTGTGGCGGTGTGGAGAAAGCCCGGCTGTCTCGTGTCAGCTACGCTCCGTGATTCGTCTCTCGGTTGCCGGCTAATTGAGATCACAGCTCTGATAGGGTAAAAGAAAAGGAGCAGTTGGAAAGAATGTTTATCACTTCACGGGGAAGAAGTCGCAAATGGCAAGTCTAACGCTGCCTTTTAGCAAAGGTCAAGGCAGTGGCATCACCTCAAAGTATCGCCCAGTCAATCTGTCAATTTTAATGAACATGCTGACCTTAAACAATGAATGCTGATCAGTCAGCCTGTGCATAACTTTCAAAGGATTTTCATATGTGCGCAGTAGATATGGGGGGGAAGAGAAGGAAGGCAGACTTTTCATTGTTGACAATGAATCAACTCAGCAAAACAATTCTTCTTCAAAGTTGTTCCGCCTCTCTCATCTGGCCTCTGGAGTATTGTCCCTCTCCAGATGAAAATGTATCAATTATGACAGGCCCTGTACTCATTTGCAGGTATTCAGACGTGGGCAAATTGATGCGAACAGCAAAGTCAGGTTGTATTTCCCTCCTAACACGATATGAATTTGACAGATTC